TGAACTGACTCCCTCCCCTTCTTGGTTCCCATGGCCAGGATCCTTAACGAATCCTCTACCCACAAAGTGGGGCTGGTTTCACAAGCTGTTGTCTCAGCTGCTCACTCCAACATCTACTCTGGATTTGCTTCCTGAACACCTCCAACATGCACAGAGCATTGTCACCCTTCATCAGGCTCAATGAGCTGCCCCCTCCACTCTCAAACCCTTCTGCATCTGCACATACCTGTCCCCCCTTCCGCCGCTAGTTCGGCCCATACTGATCCATCTACCTGTGCCCCAGCCCCCTGGGATTTTGCACCATCAATTATATGCATTCAGTCCAGAATCTTTGACCTCTCCATCTCTGGGAGCCCTTCATTTATTCAGCAGAGAAACTTGTTTAAGCCTTTTCCATGGGGAGTGGGGTGGGGTGGAAATCCTCCCTTTATCCCTGTCTGCAGCTTCTTTAAAAAAAAAAAAAAAAAAATATATATATATATATATATATGTATTTATATATATATGTATATATATATATATATACACACACACATACACACACACACACACATATATATATATTGATTGATTGATTTCAGAGAGGAAGGAAGAGGGGGAGAGAGAGAGAAAAATTAATGATGAGAATCATTGATCAGCTGCCTCCTGCAGGCCCCCTACTGGGGATGGAGCTCTTAACCCAGGCATGTGCCCTTGACCTAATGGAACCCAGGACCCTCCTGAATCCTTAGCTACACTCCCAAGAATAAGCAAGTGCTAAAGGTTTTGTGCAGCATCTGGGCGCTTAGAAGGTCAGATTGCACCTGCGAAGGGCATACTGGTGCCTACAGCCACCGAGGCTCCAGTCCGCCTGGCCCCCAGATGCCTTCTCCTTCTCCATAGGGGCCGCCACCTTCACTCCCATTCCCCTAAGCCCCTCCACTCCCACTGCACCTTCTGACCTGAGAGTGACCTGCAGGCTGCGGCTCCTCTGGGAGGCTCGGCATCCTCTGCCCTCACCCATCTCCCAGGCCGCCCATCACAATCATCATGTCCTTGGGATCCGGGTACCCGCGCGGCGGGACGTGGAGTGCAGGGCCAGGACTCCTGAGAGGAACTGGGGGCAGCGCAACATGAGGCTGCCGGCCACCCCTGCCAGGGAGGGCGGCCGGAGGAGGCGACCCGGTTCGATGTTCCTCCGAAGCCTGCGTTGCGGGGTGCCTGAATTCTCTGGGATCCCGTGGGGAAAAGGAACCACAGTCCTGCTGGGGAGGAAGAACACACTCCTGGGACTGACTCCTCCCTGCGATGTGGCCTTAGGTGGAGTCCCCGAGTTCCACCTCGGCCGGTGGGGCCAGGCCCTATCCTCCCAGGGACCTTCCCTAGGAAGCAGGCAGCAGGGCCCAGAGCCAAAGGCTTCGAAGCGGCGGGCGGTGTGTCCTTTGGTGCTGCTGCGACCCAGAGGCCCCCCGGCGGGCGGGCGGGAGCAGGTCGCGGGCGGCGGTGGGCTTGTGGTTAAAGCACCAGACAGTCCCGGGACCGCGGCCTAAGAAGGGACCTCGGGAGGGTCGTTTAATTTCTCTAAGTCACAAATTTCTTAACTGTGTAAAGGGGATTCCATGGTGTCATTTGGGTGCTAGGAGGTTACAGGTGGGATCCAGTGTCTGGCAGAGAGGATTGGGGAAGGTTGGCCGCCATTGTTACTCTTCACAGGGGGGCAGGACCAGAGAAAATCTCCCCTTCAGGTTTCCCTCTGGCTCTCGCCGGGACCCCTCTGCACCTCCCGCCTTTGGCAGTTCTGGACACATCCAAGGGTCAAGAACGACCCCTGATGGCTGATCCCATTGCGCATTTCAGGAGAGGCGTAACCTGCTCGCCAGCATTTTATTTATTTTTATTTTTTAAATATATTTTTATTGATTTCAGAGAGGAAGGGAAAGGGAGAGATAGAAACATCAATGATGAGAGAATCATTGATTGGCTGCCTCCTGCGCGTCCCCCAGTGGGAATGAGCCTGAAACCCCCAGCCAGACATTCTATCCACTGAGCCAAACCAGCCAGGGCATCGCCAGCATTTTAAATGTACACCACACTCCTGCCCAAGACCGCGGCCAGAGGCCAGCACCAGGGTGCACAGAGGACTCAGAAGTGCCAGGACGCCTATGCGCAGAACGACCTGGACCCAGAGCATCTGCCTCTGTTCTGTGCCTCCCAGCACCTGCACCCTGTCCCCATCTTGCCCCCGACTTTCCCTGCCTGGTGGCTGCTGCGCAGGCGCCACCACCACTCAGGGACCGACAGCCCTGCCAGCACTGGGGGCTTGGCAAGTTCCCCGTTTGCAGGGGCTCCTGCTGGCTCCCCTTCAGGCTGACCTCTCCACTGGTCCCCGCGCTTCTGGCAGGTGGATCCGAAGCGCCATGTTCCTGTGGAGAACTGCGTTTAACTTGCTCTTCCACTGAGCCGACGGTTTTCCTGAAAATCCATCATTCGATATAGTTTTGCTTGGTAAAAATTAAAACCTTGGGGGCCGGCTTGGGCCCAGTTCCTATCCGCAGTCACCTGTGTTGGTGGCTGTGCTGCCTGGCTGTGGGCAAAGGCGGGGAAGAGGGCTCCTCCGCCGAGTGGGGAGCGCTGGGAGAGGCTCTGCCTGGCGCTCCAAGGACATTTGGTGACTTATTCGAATACATGAATGGGTGAAGGCCTGGAGATGTTTCTGCCAAAGACAAGGGAGAGTTGGAAAGTGAACCACCCGAGAGCTGACAGGAGAATGGGTTCCCTTGACTCTTGGTTGGCCCAGCCCGCAGAATTTGCTAAAAACAATCTTAAAACTGAAGTGCTGAGAGTCAGACCGACAGAGTTCAAAGCCTCCACGGTGGCGGGCAATAGGGTATGAAGACATGGGGGGATAGGAGCAGGAAGGAGGGGGTAAAGGGAGAGGGAAATGGGAGATATCTGTAATGCTATCAACAATAACAAGTATAAAAAACAATTAGACTAACTACTTCAATACATAAATTTGAGATGATATTATTTCCAAAAGTCTTTATATTATGATTCTGTTTTATGCAAAGGACTATTTTCATTCTCTGAATTTTGTTGGTTGTAATTAGCTATCTGTATCCCACAGGATATAGTTGGGTTCATAGATATGATATAAAGTCTCTACATTTCCATTTTTACAAACCCAAGAAGGGAGAAGTGGATGAAAGAGGAGGGGTTAGGAGAAGGACTGCCTGCAGCCCAAGGATAGTGGCCTATGTCATAGGGCACAGGGCACGGGTGGTGCTTGGTACCAGCAAAGGCTGCAGGTGCAGAGCCACAGAGTACAATCTGAAGTTCTGTGTCCCGGGGCTAACAGGGTTTGGCTTAGGAACTTTCCAGAACGTCACTGAAATGGAGCTACCAAACCCCAAGAAGGTAGGGATTGCTGGCAGAACATGCCAAAGAAGTTCTGAGGGGTGCAGTGGAAATGAGAAGCTGGAGTAAAAATCACCAATTTTAAGGCTGTGAAAACGTGTCTCGTTGGAGCCCCTCCCCCTGTAATGAGAAATTCCATAGATGCGCCTGGGGAGTAGCTGAGGGCCAAATACCTTCTTCACAGACACAGAGTGACTTTTTCCAAAGTCGCCTGGAAAGCAATTCTTGTGAGGGGAAAAAAGAGAGCGTCTGCTTAGCGAATGGAGAGCTGCAGGGTCTCTAGAAATTTGGTCTTTCAGGCAGGAGTATTACATGATGGGCATTTGGGTCTTCTTTCCCATCCAGTCACCTGAAACCCAGTGCAGTGAAAGCTTTCTGGTTGCAACGTCCTTTCAGGAATTATCTGTTTTTGAAACAAAAAGAAGTTACTCTCTGTTCTAAAGAAAGAGAATAGGAGCCCTTAGAAGGCACTTGCCTAGAGAGAGGATTTTTTAAAATTGTAAATGTCTACAACATGAATGCTTATTTGATACATTATATACCTTTTTTTGGGGCCCTCATTTTTAAAATTCTAATGCTTTTTTTTTTTAAACGCCCTCCCTCCCAGAACTTCCTCACCTCACAAAATAAATGTTGGCCACTACCTTCCATATTCAAATAGTCCTCCAACTTATTCTGGAGGAAAATCAACATTTTTAGGAAGATTTAAAAAATGTAGACTATATTTAGATTTTCTCCAATTATTTTGTTCTATAGGTTTTATACATATTAAATTCCATCTTTCAAAAGGCAGAACTTTTTCAACTTCAAATATTCTGAAGTTTTAAAAGTCATTTTTAAAATGGGTCATTTCTGATGTGTATAATGAATAAGAATTGCAAAACTAAATTGTTTATTGGGAGAAAAGAACTATAATAGTTTTAAAAGAAGTCCGACGAAAGTTCCATAGATGATGTTGTGTAATATTTTAGCACTTTATTTAGTCTACACAGATAGGCTTAATTTTAACACCTCTCCATGGAATATTGCACATCCACACACAGATCAGAAATAAATGCCCTGAAATTAAAATCCTACTTATATTACACACGGGTTTCAGAAAGACATAGAAGACATGAGCACATTGTACTGGACTTGGGAATAATACTTGCAGTTCCTGGGGGGGAAGAAGGAGAAAACATGGGCCTTGGACATTGTATCTTTGTTTTTTCTTTTCATATCACAGCAAAATACCCCACTCACGTTCATAGTTCCTCTGGAAATGGGCAAACCAGAAAAGTCCTGGAAGCCACGAGGGGAGGCTGGGAAAGAAGAGGTGAAAATTGATGCCACAGGAAGTTTGCACTCAGGCTGTCTAAGGGAACGGTAGCCAGCTTCTCCTCTGTAAATATTTCTCAGCGAACAAACAAAAATTGGTGGGAAGGGACTTTGGTGGTTGGTTGCTTTGCTTTGGGATATTAATGCATACTCCTCGTCTGGCGGTGCAAGGTGGAGTGCGCTAGGATAGGCAGCGGGGAGAAGGGACACCGGGCTCTCTCTGCCTTCTAGTTTGGCTCCAGGTTCGCCCCCTTGGAGTTGGCGCCGGAGCAGGAGGCAGGTGCTACTCAAAACGCGGGCGAGGTCCCCTCTCCGCAGGACACCTGCCCGGAGCCTTCGGCTCCCCGTGGAAGCCCCAGCAGCGCCGCGGTGGCGGCAGACAGGTGCCGGCCCAGCAGCCCGCCTTTGCTGGCACCGTCCTGGACAGCGGACACATGGAGCCAGGGGGCAGCAGCCTGGGTGTGCCACAGGTTCCACGGGCGCTGCAGCAGGTGCCAGTAGCCCCCCGGGGTGGTCCGGGGCAGATTCTGCGCCGTCGCTGTCCCGCCTCCTCGGCCCCCTTGCATTATGCTTTCGATGCTGAAGGAGGTACCTCCGCCTGCCTGTCTCGTTGAGAGCCCCTTGCCCCCTTCCCAAGGCTGGAAGCCCAGGGAGGGCGGCTGCAGTGCTGGGAGGGCGGCGCCGGGGGTCCCCAGGTTCCCGCATTGCACTTTCCCGGGCGCCTCGGAGTAGATGGGGGTGGACAGCAGCAGGTAGCGAAGGGGATGGGGGTGCAGCAGAGCGCAGGGGCGGCTCTGGGGGGCGGCGGCGGCAGGGGAGGCCCCGGGGACGGCCAGGGACCCAGGCAGCAAGCCCGGATAGGGGCCGTGCAGAGTGGCGGGCACTACGGGGAGCGGGAAGGGGTGAGGCAGGTGGGCGCCCGGGGGCTGGTGGTGGCGGCGCTTGAAGCGCTTCCTGCGGCGCAGGAAGCTGCCGTTGTCGAACATGTCCTGGGAGGCGGGGTCCAGGCTCCAGTAGTTGCCCTTGCCCGGGCGGCCGGGCTCGCGGGGGATCTTGACGAAGCAGTCGTTGAGCGAGAGGTTGTGGCGGATGCTGTTCTGCCAGGCGGGGAACCTGCGGCGGTAGTAGGGGAAGCGGCCGCGGATGAAGGCGCAGATGCCGCTCAGCGTGAGGCGCCGGTGCGGGCTCTGCAGGATGGCCATGGTGATGAGCGCGATGTAGGAGTAGGGGGGCTTCGCGGGCTGCGGGGCGTCCCCGGAGGCCGCCGTGGGCCCGGCCGAGGCCCCGAACTTGGTGCCAAACTCCGGGGAGTCGCTCGGGCCACCGCTGCTCTCGGTGCGCTCCCCAGGCTTCGCGCCCGCGCCCTGCGACTCCGGCTGGTGCAGCAGCTCCAGGAACGGCGGGCTCACTTGGATCTCCACGTGGTCCTCTTCTTCCTCCTCGTCGTCGTCTTCATCTTCTTCCTCCCCCAGAATATCGATTTCGCCGTCTTCGCCTTCGGGGCCCCGGAGGCTGCGCGGCGGCGGCGTGGGGCGAAGGCGCTCAGCTCCCGGCGGGTTCATGGAGCAGCAGGTCCCGCAGCCCCGGGGACGGGGATGGCGGCCGCCCACCTGCCTGGCAGTGGGCTGGGCTGGGTGCCAGGGTTCGGGTGTTCTGAGAAGTAGGGACGCTTCAGCTGTTCTTAACGTCTGGTTTCACCTCCTATACAATGCAATATGCGAGTCCAGCAAAGGTGCACTTTGCCTTTTATGAAAGCTTCCTCGATTCCCTATGCTGTGAAGTCTCCTGCCCTTTCTAACCACTTCTTGTCCTACCTCAGAGCGCTCGCACTTCCTGGCGGCACAGTCCAATGATGATGAGGGTCCTCTGCGCATTAGCCGACCGGGAAGAGCCTCCAGCCTCCTCCTCCCTACACCCACCCACCACCAAGGAGAAGGCTGCACTCCTCAGGTTAGCCTGCCTGTCGGGCCCGGAGTTGCATAGGCAGTTAATGCGCGTTTTTTCTCCACCTCCACCTCTCCTCTCACCTCACCCCCTTAATGCACTTTTAAAACTGCGCCAATAGCCCTGGCCCGGTGGCTCTGTTAGTTGGAACAGTCCCGCCTGTACACCAAAAGGTTGCGGGTTCCATTCTAGGTCAGGGCACATAACCTAGGTTATTCAGGATCAGTGTTTCTCTCTCATCAAAGTTTCTCACATCAATGTTTCTCTTTCTTCCTTCCTCTCTTTTCCCTCTCTCTAAGAAAACAAAAACATCCTCGGATGAGGATTTTATGTGACTATAAAATAGAACTGCGCAGATAAAAAGGGGGGTAGGAAAATATGACACCCAACAACCTACCATGAATATCCAGGCCTCTAGTACTCCTGGAGGAAAGAAGGGGCATTGAGATGTGAAACAAATTGTTTTCATGCTGCATGGCATGTTCATCGCCTATTTTCATCAGTGGATTCTGTCATTAAGAATGATGAACTGAAATATTTTAAATATTCTAACTATATCCCTGGGCTCAGTGGGTTGTGAAGAGCTGTTGCGTCTTCCTACTCTCCCCAACCCCCAGTTCCACAAAATGTCCTTCCAGACTCTAGTTTTCAGAAAAGGCTGAACTATCCTGGCATTAAATAGTGGAAGATCAGGGTGGAGAGAAAGCAGGCACGCTTGAGAGAAGTCCCCTTCAGTAGCGATTCGCTGACTTCCTTGAACATTTAACCACAGTAGAAAATGCATTTTGCCCCACAATCATGAATATACAAACTTGCATAACTACAATGGTTTCATAGAGCAATATACTCACACTAGAATGATGAGTGACATTTTTCTTCTTTAATGGCCACAACCAACTAAATTGATTTTACCACATACTAACCAGAACAGACCTACTTTGAAATACCTGTTTTCACAACATGGCCCCACAACTCCAAGGGATGCACCCAGGATATGATGGGCTCCTTTCTCCCTCTCCCTCTGGGGGGCGGGGGGGAGGGAAGGAAAGCACCCCACATTAAGCACCTTTATTATAATTACACAACTTAAGAAGTGAGGCAAGGAGAGGCTGCAGTTTCAGTGACAAAGTTGTCATTCATTACTCACATAGGAGAGGATCAATATGAGAAAGAAGCTTCGTTAACTCACTTAGCATCTTTGGAGGAAACAAGATTTTTTGATGGCCACATTTATATCAACTCAGAGAGAAAAGTAGCAGTCCAGTAGAATATAACGTACTGTGTTATATAAATAGGGATTTTACGGTATATATTCATAATAATGGTATATATATACATGCCACAGTATATTTTTCATAATTTAAAACTCACCTACTTATAAACAGAATTTGGGGTGGCATCTAATTAAAATGCAGCATAAAAGAATATTGTATCAGGCAATTGATAGTCACATAGTAAATCTTCTGTTAATATTTGTAAAATAATGACTTTTAGGTCATAAGTCAGAAGCCAGCTGAAAGGTCAAAATACAATTAAAAAGTAGCTGGTGCCTTCAGGATAAAATTTTGAAATCAGATTTCTTAATCCTGAGATATTTATCCTGTAAGCTTTACCAGTTATATATAGTTTGAAGTAGGACAAATAAACAGGTTTTAAGCTAAATAGATTTGTGTTTGAATCCCAAATTTACCAATTACCACTTGTGTGATCCACTAAATTAACTCTGGAGGGCAGAACAGGTGTCTTATTCAACCTTAGATTCTCAGAGGCCTCCCCCTCTACCCCCTGCAGGTAAAGTTTAGTTCTGCCATCAGCATAGAAATCAGGATTACCTGAGAAAGGGAGTATTGTTAGTTTTCCTAGAGTCAACTTCTATTGGGATTAGAGTCATTTAAAAATGAAAGGAGAAAGGAGGAAAATAAACCCCACATTGATGGGGAGGGTTGAGGGTGGGGGTGGGTATGTCTAAGGATACACAGGAGTCAGCTGTAAAAGCTCCCAATGGCCAATGCTAGGACGATTTGAACAACAAAATGAAGTCGTATTGGATTATAACCTAAAGTATAAAATAGATATCTATGTATTCATACTGATAGAGGATTGAGTTAATAAAATGGAGGAAGAGGCAGAATTCCAAACAACTTAGGTTCTCAGCCCTTGAGGATGCCTAACGCCCCACGCCTTCATTGTACAAAGCACATAGTGATTTCCCTCCAGGACGTACAGTATGGACAGGGGTGGAAAGAGTCACTTAACTGTCCAGTGCAAAAACCTCACAAACACTACTTCAGCCAGATGGTCAGGTGGTCAATATCAACAAAAACGCACATGAACCGTGTTGATAGTATATCCCCTTGATATGTGATGAAATGGGACTCTATGATCTTCCTCCCTTAGGCCCCAATGAGAAAAACACACAGATTCCAAAAGAGGAGTGTCCTGTGTTCATGACCAGTATCTCTCACAACTGTGGATGTCATCAAAGCAAGTAAAGTCTAAGAAACTGTCATAGCCCAGAAAAGTCTATTAAGACATGGCTATTAAATGAAACATGGAATCCTAGATAGGATCCTGGAAAAAAAAGAAGAACATTAGGTAAAATATAAGGATATCTGAAAAACAGTGGGCTTTAGTTAATACTGTATCAATATTGGTTCTCTAATGTAATAAATGTACCATACCAATGTAAGATGTTAAGTGTGTGTGTATGTTGGAGGGTGATATATGGGAGCTCTCTTTTACTATCTGTTCAATTTTTCTGTAAATCTAAAACTGTTATGAAAAATATTCTACTAATTAAAAAATTAAACATAAGGGAAAAGGACATAATTTCAGAAAAATAAAAACTTAAATGTCCATCAACTGAGGAGTGGATAAACAAAACGTGATTATAAATAGAATGTTATTTAGCAATTAAAAGGAACAAAATGCTGATGCATGCTACAACATGGTGAATCATGAAAACATTATAGTAAATGAAAGGAGTCCAGAAAGAACATCTTAGCTAGTAGCTAAGAGCAAGGAAAAATGGGGAATAACTGCAAAGGGATACAAGGCTTCTTTTAGGAGTGAGGTATATTAATTATAGTATGTGAATTATTTCTGGAGTTGTTATACAAAATATGTCAATATAAAATACAAAGAGCTGTATCAATGAAAACTAAATTGAATACTTTACAAAGATTCCGTATGGCATGCCACTCTAAAAAAATAAAATTTTTAAAAAAAAGGCACTATTCCTGTCCATTCCTTTCAATTCTTCAGTGTTGCCTTAAAAGTTAAAAGCTTTACATTGTCAGTCCTGCAACATGGCGGCTTGTGCAAAATTTTTGGTGATTAATAGATATTTTTCCCTGAAAGAAACTATCAGACTCACAAGACACTTGTTTTGCAAAACAACCTTTCCCAAACTAATTTACAGGAAGGATGGTGATGATGATGTCTGATTTCTCTCCATTTCACTCTGAAAATTAAAGGCAATTTGGTCATTATTTAAAAGGTAAAGTTGATTCCAATATCAAGTTAAAAGGTAAAGTTGATTCCAATATTAAGTCTGTGAGGAAAAAAAATCTAGTGTATTTTCTCATCAAAGTAGATCAAGTTGCTAGACAAAGGTAGAATTCAATTCTTTCAACACTACTACTACTACAATGTATAGCATTTCTAAAACTATGGAAGTCATTTCAAAGCAATCTAAATATAGTCTTCCTACCTAGTCTAGTAATCCAAAGGAAACATTTATTCACTTTGTACAAGCAACCAAGCCCATAAATGTTTAAAAGGCTGTTAACTTTATTTTGTTGATAATTCCCTTCAGACTTTGGGATCTAGGAATTATAGACCCTTTCAATCAGCAGGTCTTCCCTCATGCCCTGTGCTGAACCTTCCTACAGCTACCTTAATCTCAGTACCAATGTTCTTGCTCCTTTCACTGAAAGCTGGGGAAAGCCTAGGAAAGAACTATTTGTTTGAAGAAAGTGCACAAAAGCTTTTTTTTTTTTTTTTTTAAAGGGTTTTGCTAGAAATGGGGAATTCACTTTTATTGAGATTTGGTATCCAGCGTGCTTTCAATTTAATCCCTGGAACAATCCAGAGATCTGCATTGTTATATCCATTTTATGAATAAGGAGGAAAGGCTCAGATTTTGTCATTTAATCCCTGGAACAATCCAGAGATCTGCATTGTTATATCCATTTTATGAATAAGGAGGAAAGGCTCAGATTTTTGTCATTATCCATTATCCTATATCTAAAGCTATAGTTTTAGATGAACTATCCCTAAACCTTAATTATCATCATCAATACCTTGAAAATCTTCTATAGTAAACAGAATAATAGCCCACACTATTTACTTTAGTTAGCAATTTGTATTGTAAAAATAAAATCTTCTCTGGAGGATATTCATGACAAGTTCCAAAGTCCTCTGAAGGTGCTGGTTATACTATTGCTCTGACCTCTGAAAAATACTTCATTTTGGGGAAAATAAGAATGAGGGACAGGATCTTTAAAGTAATATATAAACAACATAAAAATACAGAGTAAAATCTAAATTAAAAGGGGCATGTCATCCCATGCAGGTTGACAAATGTTAAACTGTGTTAGCTAGGTTTGGAGAAATGAGTGCTTTCCTATACTACTGTAAAGAGGTACAGCCATTGGAAGAACAATTTATATCGTATCTATTAAAATTTTAAGTGTGCATATTCTGGAAGCTCATGATTCCACCCTTCTAGAGAAAACAGTATCTCATAAGAACAAAGACGCATGCACAGTGATAAAATTTAAAAAACAGAAAACAACTAGCTCATTCATCACAACCACATCACTGCACTTCCTTGAGCTTTCAGAATAATCCAAATGTGTCACTCAGTCCACCACCTCTGGCCCCAGCTCATGACTCAATTCCATCTCCAACCCTGGCTTTGTAACCTTCCACTCTTGCCTTCTTCCTGGACTT